ACTATAATTATAATTAGAGAAATTCCTACTTTCCCTAGGTCTTGCGCCTGCCCTGAAATTACTGACGCCCCCAGGTTAGAACCACTGGTCTAAAGGGAACTTTGAATATAATCTGCGGATTTCATGCAAGACGCTGTATGTTGGGACCTGATGCCATCCAACCTTGTAAGCAATTTAATTTTGGCTTTGATAGCTCAGTCAGAGCATTGTTAGTGAGGATAATAGTAGGAAATGAAACGGGTTCATAGTCTCAGTTTCAACGTCAGAGTGTACAGTAAATTAATTCATCGAAATAAGTAGGTGGACTCCTGACCTATTTTGAGTGGGTGCCGCGGGCATTTCAACTGTTAGTAAGTGCTCCCCCTTCACCCATACAGGTAGGACATTCCACTCTGTGTTGTAATTCGCCCTTCTTAAGTGATTTGACCCAATTAATAGTTGATTGTGCAAGTGTTACAGTAACAAAGTTGATATGCTCTGAGTGAAGTCATATTTACGTCTTTAACGTCCCCTGAAATGTGATGTCGTTGTCACAGTTAGTAAATGCTCGCCTCTTCACCCATACAGGTCCCTAGCGCAGCCTAGGCCGTGTCTGTAGCGTGGATGTTGTATCCACTATGTCTGGGGAGATGTCCGAGGTCCAGTAGGATCAGTTACCTTCGTGAGACCCGACCGTCAGACACTTCAGACTACCTATGGCCCCATAGCTGGCTTGTCTGGCCCTAGCGCTCGGCCTGCGGTGACCCCGGATCCCAAGCCACACACCACGACCAGCCCCCATCATTGGTGGATGAGTGTCTAACTCAGTAGGGCTACTTGTGTGGCGGGGTTAATCTACTGGGATCTTCAGAGTTCGTCGGGAAAGTACCCCATGGTGGCAGAACCCCATGGTGGATGCTTGAGTATCACTTCTGACGACTGAGTGTTGTAGTGGCAGTTGCCCTGGTCTTTATGGTGCTAAGTGACTATAAGAGTTATGTGTTATTGAGTATGTCCACCCAGTAGTGGTGTGAGTGATATTGAGTATGTCCACCCAGTTGTGGTGTGAGTATGTTGAGCCTGAGGGCCTAGTACCAAACTTCGTCTGTTGGTACATATATATTCTTCTCCTACCTCCATATTAATGTTTAAATAAATTTTGTATTTGTATATTGTGTCTATTATTTACCTACATTATCTACACGTTATTTCTTCCCTATTACTTGACACTATCATTACATATACCCCAGGCCTCCTCTCGTTACGCTACCAATGATTATAAGTATTAGAGTAAAAAGAATTGTTACTGACACACAGTCCTTATACTGAAATAATCCTTTTCCATCATCAGAGCCTAAAAAGTTTGAAAAAGTTTAAAATTACAGGTGATATACAATAAAAACAATATTATACGAAATTTACCTTCGATAAACTTCAAAAAATTAAAAAGAGCAATCCACTTCAAAACCTACAAACATGACGAGAGACCTACATATAAAGCTAAAATCAGGAAATAAAAGTATGAAATAAAATATAAAGGGTATTACCTTAATTCAGACGAGCCTTAGTGTAAACATAACAATTCACTAGAGGCCATATCACAAAGCGATGGCATTTCTTTATACTGGTGTAATGCCTCCATAATGAGGAGGTCTGTATCACAGTCGCTCTTGCCAGAACTGAGAAATCAGACGGAAACAGGTGGTCATGTTGGTGGCGTGGTTACAAATAGCTGTGGTGGTTGTGTTATTAAATGGCCTGTTCGAACGGAACGGCCCAAGTGTTCATGGATGCGAGTTATCAAATGTCTTTTAGTTTTACCTATATATGCTGCCCTACAGCTAGCACTCGTAAATTGATAAACAACAGAGGAGTGCAGGTGTGTGGTATGGTGTCTTTAATTTTAAAGAATTTCTTAATTGAACTCTGGGTTTTAAAGATTAGTCTAAAGAAATTTGTGGATAGAATTCATTGAAAAGCTTCTTAAGTTTATTTCTAAGGGTGAAACTGAGTGGGGCTGTGTACGGTATGGTGAAATAGATAGAATATTTAGGGACAGTGTGGATTTGAGGTTGTGTGGGACTAAAAACCTATAAAGCGTTTTGCCAATATAAGTGTCTGTAAATCTCTTAGGAAGCCATTATTAAAGAGTAGTTCATTTATGTATTTTAGTTCAATATCCAAGTGGAAATAGCTTGAACATATATTGAAGGCTCTGTTGGTAAGAGTACGTACTAGATTACGTTTGTAATTAAGAGGAATAAAAGATGAAAATTTTGAACTCAAACCAGTGAAAGTTGGTTTTCTGAATAAGGCTGTCTCGAAACTATTATGAAGACGGTGGATATTAACATCAAGGAATGGAAGAATATTTTCTTTTTCCACTTCACAGTAAATTTGATGTTGCCATGTTTCGAATTTAAATAATTTAGGAACATAGGACGTGATCAAGTGATCTGAAAATTAAAAAAGTGCCATCAACATACCGACGATAGAACAAAGGCTTAATTGGGGGACATTCGGTAGGCCAAAGCTTCTCGTGGTGACAGAGGAAAGCGTTGGCCAACGTGGCACTAAAGGTGACTCATAACACCATTACATTGTTTATAAGCTTTGTTATTAAATAAAACAATCAATCATTTACAGCCAGTTTTAAAATTCTTTTAAATGTGTAGGAGGGTGTAAAGGGTGTGCTGAGTGTGTAAGGATGGATAGGGATGTGTAGGAGGGTGTAGAGATGTGTAGGAGGGTGTAAGGGGATGCCGAAGGTGCGTAAGGATGGATAGGGATGTGTAGGAGGGTGTAGAGATGTGTGGAGGGTGTAAAGGGGTGCCGAAGGTGTGTAGGATGGATAGGGATGTGTGGGAGGGTGTAGAGATGTGTAGGAGGGTGTAAGGGGATGCCGAAGGTGTCTAAGGATGGATAGGGATGTGTAGGAGGGTAAGGACGTGATACTTACTCTAATGGGTAAATTTCATACATTCCACTCTCGGTCGCCCTTCAGTCTGATGACCGGCGCAGTCCTTCACTCTGTTGAGGAAGAGAGAAATAGAGAGAGAGAGGGCAGGGGGGAGAGAGATAGAGAGAGAGAAGGGCAGGGGGGGAGAGAGAGGGGGGACAGGGGGAGAGAGAGATTGACTTTATACGAGAGAGACAGAGAGGAGTCCTTCATTCTTTGGGAAAGGATAGAGATGAAGACAGACAGACACAGACACACCCACCTTGACCCAGTACCCAACAACACAGGAGCAGGTGTGGTCTTGGGAAGTATGGTCACTTTCTCACAGACACAATCCAATCCTACAAAATTCCTCTCTTCCAACTGTGCTTCTGTTAAATTCTCTCTACAAGGACATAAATCATCTATTTTAACGCTTTTTAACATCCTCTGTAGTATCTGTAGGTTTGGCGCTGTCTGTAGGAGGTAGGATATCTGTAGGGCCTCTCTGAAGGTACTGTAGTTTCTTCTTGCAATCCTGTAGGTGTAGACGGAGTTCTTGTTTATCCTCCTGTGGAGCCTCGATCTGGGCAGTACAACGACCTTGTTGGGTGGGTAAATCTTCGTTAAGCTGTTGCAGTAGAGCGTGGTGACGTAGAGCCAGAGTTAACAGTGAGTTTGGTCCTTCGTCGTTAACCCGAGCCAGTACTGTCAACAAACATGGAGGGTAGGGTTAGCTTAGGTGTGTGTAGGTTAGCTTAGGTGTGGGTAGGTTAGCTGAGGTGTGGGTAGGTTAGCTTAGGTGTGGGTACGTTAGCTTAGGTGTGGGTAGGTTAGCTTAATATTTATTTTAGTTTAAGATTAATAAGGTTTAATTAGGGTTAGGTTAGTTTAAGATTAGTAAGGCTTAATTAGGGTAGTTAAGGATTAAGCTTGTCTAAAAATTCCAATGGGTCACTGTTTCTAGGTCAAAGACAAAGAACATCATCTGCATATCTATACCATGGAGGAATAAAGTGAGTACCCTTAAGGTTTTTTCCGTGTCACGAAATGTATTGCGATTCATGTGACCACTGTTTAACTAGTTAGGAAAAGAGGTTTATTGTTTTGAAAGTGTAACTGCCCATTCTGAGTATCATCAATAATAGACAAAGGACCGTTATGAATAGTTCTCAATTCCCTCCTTGTGTGTGGATTAGAGCATGTCTCCTGAGTGTGATATAGTGACTCCTGAGTATCAACACACCTATCACTTGTTTCCCTAGTGTCTCAGTTATCTCATGTTATTTCTCTTCTCCATTTATCATCATCCCCGTTCATTCTTCCTTCGTCTCCCCTTCATGTGTGAGGGTAGCTGCTAACCATAAACCAGCCGTTATCTTCCTCGCTCTAACTCCCTCCTCTTATTCCACCCCTTACCTCCTCCATCTAACTAGTATACGAAGAAAGATTAAGACTAGAAGTAAGAATTAAGAACTAAGAAGAAAGAAAAATAAGGGCAAAATAAAACGATTATTGCAGTGTTGCAGGTTCATGTTTGGTGTTGCAGGTTGATGTTTGGTGCTTCAGGGTGATGTTTGATGTTGCAGGTTGATATTTGGTGTTGCAGAGTGATGTTTGATGTTGCAGGATAGTGTTTGGTTGTATATTAATGTTTGATGTTACGGGGTGAAGTTTGGTGATACAGGGTGATTTTTTTTATGTTGCAGAGTGATGTTTGGTGTTACAGAATGATGTATGGTGTTGCAGGGTGATGTTTGGTGCTGCAAGTTGATGTTTGATGTTACAGGTTGATGTTTGGCGTTGCAGATTGATGTTTGGTGGTGCAAGGTGATGTTTGATGTTAGAGGGTGATGTTTGATTTCAAACTTTGGTGTTGAAGATTCATATTTGGTGTTGCAGATTGATGTTTGGTGTTGCAATGTGGTATTTTGATGCTGCAGAAACATGTTTGTTATTTCGGGTGTATGTGCAGTGTTGAAGGAATATGTGTGTGTGTGTGGTGATGTCTAAGAATGATGTTTGGATGGTGGGTGATGGTGCAGGTTGACATATTGTGATAATGGTATTGTGGGGTGATGGGACGTGACGTTTCGTGTTGCAGAGTGACGTGTCAGAATTCCCGGAGGTAACGGTGTGTCTGAGGGCGCGACCAGTGGTGCTCATGAGCTATGAGAGTCACATCTCCATCGCCACCTCCGACCAAGACAACGACGTGCTCCACATGTAAGTTATCCCTCCCTTTAATCAGTCTCCTTTACTGTTCATTCATTTTCTTCTTTCTCCTCCAACCAAGCTTTCGTTTGCATCCCTCCTTTCCTCCCTTTTTCTTCGGCATAAACTACAGTCTTCCTCATCTCTTCCCCCTTCTCATCCACCACCAACCACACTTTCTGCCATATGTCTTCTTTCTCCTCATCCATCACCAACCACACTTTCTTCCACATGTCTCCCTCTTCCTCCTCCGCCTTATCTCTTCTCGTTTACTTGTAAAGTTCAGTAAGATTTGTACGATCATACTTGTTTTCATCATCATTATTTACAATGTTTATTTTGGCTGAGAAATAATAATAATAATAATAATAATAATAATAATAATAATAATAATAATAATAATAATAATAATAATAATAATAATAATAATAATAATAATAATAATAATAATAATAATAATAATAATAATAATAATAATAAAATTTTATTATTATTATTATTTAATGATCATGTTATCACCACAGAGGCAAGTTATTCAAGATTCTTTTTAACGTAACCAAATCAAGCAATTTACAGAGATTTTACTGAGATATGCAAGTCGTATTGAAGGAAATAGTAGTCTAAGACACAGAATAAATACAGAGAAAGGAGTTATTTAGGTTATTTGTGTTGGTCAGACCGTGGAGACACCATGGGTTCTACTACAACGGTGTCCGCCAGTACGGCTTCCTCAACATGACCAACTTTTTTTTTTTTTTTTTAGGTTAAGGTGGGGAAAGGATGGAAAGCATGCTGGGGCCAAGGCACAGCCAGACATGAGGGATGGAGAAGTCACAACATATAGTCGTGGGGAAGGTTGGAAAAGTTTAATCAGTTAATAGGGTGTGTCATACGGAGGCGAATTTTTGAGTTTGAAAAATCGGCCTATGGTATTAATGATGTAGTTTTATGTGCAGAATCATGTGATATCTTCAGATTTGAAAAGTTTTATTTTTGCTAGGTAAGTTTTAACTTGAAATCTTATGAAAATTCAGTATTCCACCCTTTTACCAACACCACTAAATAGCTTATTTAAAGTAAAGTAAATGTATCAGGTTAATTTATTAGGATGAAAATGATCCAGAATAGTGAAACGAATGATCTTGACACATTTATTAAATTTAATATTTGTCATGGGTTGCGTTGGGCCTCCGCACAACCCATCCCAAATGTTTGTTTACGGTAGAGATAAGGCACCCGGCCAGCCATAACTGGGACATGTGGGGGGCAGGCCAGTGAGACAGTGGTGTACTGTTCATCACTTCACGCCTCAAAAAGCAAATTTAGCCAGTGGGCTTTAGACCTTGGGTTAGGAAGAACCTCCTGCTCAGCGGACTTAAGATTAGGGTCATACAGTCCTACCAGTGCTACGGGTCTGTGTGTGCAAATCCCAGATTTTGTTAAGTCCAGCGACAAGTTAACACATCCTGTAAAGGAAGTGATCAATGGTGAGGGCCTGTTTGCTACAAGAGCACTCCAGGCGGCCTAATAGATCTAAACGATTAATTCACCAGGTTGACAAACTCTCCTTATAACTTACGGTACTGTGGCGTGAATGTGAGTGACTGACCTATCCATGCAAATTATAAGTCCAGTGTATGGAATTGTGCCAAATAAACGTAAGTGCAATCATCTGCCGTATCTGTGATCCCTCTATTATCATTATTACCAAGGGTAATGACTCATTGGTTATGACAAGGTATAACCAACTTAGATGGATGTTGGAAGTTAGTGGAATTCACTAAATCATCATTTATCAAGTACATAACGCATTGAGTGCCGGAAGCAGAGCAAAATTCTCGTAGTGATACACCATAATCTCTTGGGTGAGTAACCAGTGTGAAGGTATCCGAGTTCTACGGTAAAGCCACTTTCCTGCATTAAAACGTAACAATATTCCTTTAGAAAACAAAATCATCAAATACAAAACCGGTTTTACTACTACGACCCGGTGTTGCTGCACACCATAGAGAACATGTCTTTCTTGCTTCTGTTTCTACTCATCACCTCCCTGCTGACCACCTGAGCTCGGATGTAGCCTTCCTCCTCTCCTGGCTGTACACGTGACTGCTGGCCTCGCTCACTTGCTGTACACAACGCTCTACTCTGGGTGTGCGAGGGCCAGGCATGGACATGCATGGGGTTGTCAGGAAAGCTCTGACTTGAACATTGGTGAGGCTGCAGGTAAGAGGGCTCACTGCCAGCCTGGATGTTATCCAGATCTATGAGATCAGTGAGGGTCTTGGCACCTAGATTGACTTCAGGAGTCTTCCTGACCCTGAAGGAATCGTCACCAACTGATTCGTCATGCCCAGATCCTCTCATAAGTCTCATATCCAAGATCTTTTGACTGCCATCTTCTCCTCCTCATCCTTACTGCAGAGCATTGTCTGCAGAACTGCCTCAGGATGAGCATACCAGGAAGATCTCCTCACAGTCTGCTCCACAATCTGAACAACCTTCCTTGGCTGACTCCTCAGGGCTCAAGCTGGAAGAGAACATGCCTCGGACCTTCGGAGAACGATGACTTGACCTTGGTGTTGAACCAATTTGGCAAGTAGACACCGAATAGTCTCAGGTTGTGAAGCTGGGGATCCCTTTCAGTTTATGATGATGACCCAAATTCTGCAAGGAACCTGGAGAGCCGCCAGAGCCACCCAGAATGTGAGACTGACCTATCTGCAGGTAAGCAAGTCTGATTGCATGACCCCAGTTTGATGGCACTGCAAATCATGTAAACCATAGTACTGGTCAGTACTCCCGGTCGTCAATGACAGGTATGTGCAAGCCTCAACTGAGTGGGAGGGCCAACTGTGATTTTTTCAAAGCTCGGATTTATTTCTAACCCAGTGGCAGAGTCCATTCACAAGAGGACCAGACCATCTGTTGTTTGAAAGAGTCTTGCCATCCAGCTCCTGACCTCGATGTCTGAGTGGCAACTCACAGTGGGAGGTCACAAACAATCCAGACCAGCTTCCTCCCCAATCTTCCGCTCTATCCACTGGGCGACCCCCCCTTGCCACCCCCTGTGTTCGTGTTGGTGCTGTCCCTCCAATGACCTGCAGGGTCTGGTCTACGTTCTCTCTCTCTGGAGCCAGTTCACAATGTTATCTGCCAATATCTCAGCTGGTTTCTGATGTCATCTTTCTCTGA